GTTTTCCTTTGCAAGCCCGAACCTTCCTTCCTAAAGTCTTTGAATTCCAGCTTTGAATTCCAGCTGCCTCAATTTCAGGCAGGCAGATTTTGAATCAGATCCCTGTGGTTTTTGGTTTAGGGTTATATCCACAACTGAAAGGGGCCTTAATTTAGCCAGTTCCTCCTGGGAAGATGGCCAAAAGATTGAGGTTTCTGCCATCTTGAGCACAACCTTCATAAGAAATGCTCCTGAAGTTTCTTTGCTGTCAAATTCAAGCCCTTCATGCTGCTTCAGCACGCCACCTCAGCTTAAAATCTAAGCAGAACAGGTAACAGAGTAAATCCTTGAACTTTTGCGGGTGTTGGGCAGGCATGGATTATAGCAAACAGCATTCACCCTACGCTTTGCTTCCTCATCACTAGCTGAGATTTGAAACTGCCACAGTTCTCACTCCTTCCTGCTGTTCCAGCCTCAGAGATTTTGATTAGGAAAAGAAATAGAAATGCCAGAAAAATGAGAGGGGAGAAGTGGAAACTGCCAAAACCAAGCTGCCTTGGGACAGCTAAACTAAACTAACTAAACTAAACTATTCTAACTAAAGTGGTACAAGAGAAGAAAAGCTGTGGCCCTGTTGTGTTGTTATTTCAGTTTCACACATGCCCAGTAGAAATGAGGATGTGCCATAGGCAGAGAACATGTGCTTTCATCTTACACATTATTTGCCCTGATGAATGCCCCATGCAAGATTGTCAAGTCCTGCTCTGTGTCCCTGTGATAGCACCTGCCCTACTGACCACAGTGGAACTGATAGAGGGACTCCAGAGCTAAAAGCTGTGAGCTTCCAGACCTGCCATGTGACTCTGGAGTGCTCAGTGGAGATCAAGATCTTGCCAGAGAGTACCACAGAGAGGTGCTGAGTGAAGGTTACAAACACCTTGGGACTGGCACAGGACAGGGCTGGGAAAGTGCCACTGGTGATGTATGACACTATAATCTCTGTACCCAAAATTTAGGAGCTGTTTCTTCAGACTGTGTTGCTTAGAGAAAAAATAGAATTGACAAGATAAATCTGCTGGAGTTCATAGCTGGATTTATTTTTCCATAGCAGTAATCCTTTAGTTTAAAATGGATTCCAAGGCCTCCTTCCCCTGATGAACAGCAACATCCTCTAGTGCAGGAGCATCTTGGTGAGAGGAATATTTTCCCAAAAGGCTGTTCTGGCCATTGGCTCTTCAAATATAGCAAAGAGTAGCTGCAGCAGCCCAGAAGCAACTGCAAACCATTTTAGGTCCTGTCATCACTCTTTCTGTCTCCTCTTCCTGCTGGTAGCTCTTGTCACATCTTTCTTTCCTTGTTCCAGAGGAGTCTCCTGGCGTTGATAACTATTCCTTATTGCTTCTAATTATTCAATCAGCCCAAACATTTTCTACCCTTTTTCCTGTGTGTGACAGGGATGGGTTTCTGCTTTTTCTCTAGACTCAAGAGGGGTACATCTCAGGAGGGCAAATGGAAGAAATATCGATTTTTAGCCATGTTGATGCTGATCACAGGATTCCTGCTGCACTTGTTTTGGGATACCTGCACTGAGATGCATTTGTGTGAACATGGGGTGGCTTTCTCTCCCATGTTTCACAGCTTTACCTGCCTGCAGGGCACAAACCTCTTTGTGGTCTTTGGATTGGCTGCAGGCTGAGATGGAAGATGCGAGGAAATTGCCTTGCCTTCGGACTGCACATTTGTTATTGTTTCATTTTAATTGTTCCTAATAATTCTAAACTGCAAGCTGCTCTGTGCATCTGGGGAAGTATGATTGTACAAAAGCTTTTTTTTTTTTTTTTCTATTTGAAGTACTTTTTCTTTCATACTTTCTTCAGTTTCTTTTCCTTTTCCTGAATCTTCACTGTTTTTTTAATCCTTGCAAAGAAGCACTAACTTCCTTTTTCTTCTAAGTTACAATTTATTTGTTATTTTATTGGGGAGTACAGGAAGAAGTAATTATTACTACATTTCACATTATATAAGGACCCTGCTCTGTCACAGCTGCTGGCCACATGACCTGCCTTTCTTTGGGGAAACCCAAAGTGCTTGGTTTCACTGTGAAATTCTGTACTCATCTAAAACCTGCTCTTGTGCCATTATGGAGTCTTGTGAAAAGGTCATTTAATTATGAATCAGGTGTAGATGTTTCACAGAATTTTAAAAATAATGAAGGTCCTGACTTTGAGGTACAGAAATAAACAGGATTTTCTTTTATAAGACGATTTCAGAGGCAAAGATTTTAATGGGTAGCATATTTTAATGTTTTCATTTCGGGAGTTTCAAGTTCAGTTTCAAGAACAAAGCAGAAAAACAGCATTAAATTTTGAGCCCCTCTTTAAATAAAAATGTGATTGTTTTAGTTTAAGGAGGGATATAGCCTGTGTGTTGTGACACTTGCTCCATGCTCACAAAGCTGTGAGCCCGTTTCTAAAAGTCTGGTAAAGGACTGTTGCACGAGAGAAAGTAACTGCAATATGAGGGTTATGGAGACATGGAGAACACAGACATATGTGTATTTCTACATCTTCACATACCCTCTGAACTCTTCTGAAGCTCCTGGAGGAGAGGGTGGAGCTGCACATTCATGTGATCCTCAAGCTGGGTTGACAAACTGCACCAAAGGAACAAAAGTCTTCAGGTGTTTCCCTGTTTCCAACCTTGTTCTTGCCCCTCTGTTCTGACACAACCCTTGGAAACCCCTAGAGAATCCCCCCTGAGGCTGAGGCTGTCCAGCTCAGTCCCCCCAGGACATGATGGGCAGCCTGGCCATGCATTCAGATGTGGGCTCATCAGCTGTGCAGGAGCAGGAGAGCTGGGCAAGGCTGTGCAGGCAGGAGCTCCTTTGACTGCCACAGACACAATATTTGCCTGCTTTAGTCCTTGGATGAATCAGCCTTGATGTCTGTCAAACTGCACTGTCTATTTGCCAGTGGGCAGTTGTTTCTCCTTGGCTGATGGACAGACAAATGCCTGTGGGTAGGCAGATATGCGACATCCTGGATACCAGAGAATTTTTTTTCCTTTTTCCAAGAAATGAGGGAATCAATTCACTTTGACTGGGAGCAATAAACCACTTGTTGAATACAGGTCTCAAGTCCTGAATGATAAATGGCTCTTCTGCCATTATCAACTTGATTTGTTTTTTTTCTTCAGGGCAAAACACTATGCATATTCAAGAAAACGTGAGTAAAATCTTAGGGTTTGTTTTTTTCCCTCATTGAATGCACAGATCCTGTTAACTTACATTATAGGCCCAAACAAAATGTGGAATCAGCCTGGGGTGTTGAGGGTTGGTATAGAAGGTATACCAAGGTGGAGGAGGGGGAGAAATGGGTGGGTCTACCTTAAACATAAAATTTGCTGTTGGAATAATAAAATAATATAATACATCTGGGTTGATTTTCTCCTTGGTGATAGAGGGCTGCTCTAACAGTTAGCCTTGGTCATGGGTGACTTGGACATACCTTAAACTCTGGGGTACCATTCTCATATCTCTTTCTCTTTTTCTAAAATAATAACAAGAGGAAGGCATTTATTACCAGGAAGGCTGCACCCCTAGGCAAGAAGTAGTCATCTTTGATTTAACTTTACAGTGAAGTTGCTGAATTAAATATAACTTTGTTTTTATCTGTTTGCATGGAAGGCTTCCAGATAAAACAACTGTTTTAGTGACCTGTGCACTTGTATCATGTTAATTAGGTTTGAAAACTCATCTTTTGTTTTCATAAGGCTATTACATTTTCTGTAATTAAATTAAGCAAAAAATAAGGATGCATGGAATAATATTTATTATTAATACCAGACTCGAAAGGCTTACAACATGTGAATTGAAGGTAAGGGCCTTGAAGACAGCCTGAACTTCAAAACAATGTCAAATAGTCTAGTTTTTCAGCAAGTCATTACTACATGTATTTACACAAAGCATTGATAGAGTGAGAACTAGCCCACTGAACACCCAGACTTCTGGTATCATTTGAAACCCTGTAGCTTCTGGGATCTTTACAGCCTAAATTACTGCCTAAATGGGAATGAAGCTTTAATCCCAGTAACATGGGTAGGGGTGTGATCTTGTGCTGTGTTGTTTGATCATGGGACAGGGTCTGGGGGGCTGCCTGAATGGTCACAGCTGCTGGGAGATGGAGAGAAAGTGGATGGCATGAGAGGACATGAAAGGGCTCTTCAGTGTCAGGGGCAGTTCAGGTGTCCTGTCTGTGTGAGTCCTGGGTGTTGGTTCAGTTCAGGCACAATCACACTGTCAGGCCAGTCTATCCTGATTAGTATCCCATCTGTGTGGGAACCTCAGATCTCATCTACCAGTGATTTGAATCAGGGATTTTGCGAGACACAAATTTTCTCATACGGTCTCTGAATTTTTCTCTTTTATCCACTTGCTGCTTGAACTTCAGTTAACTTTTGGCACTTACTTACCTGCACATTTACAAAGTACAATTTCCTTTAGTTTAGTCTGAATCTGGAACCTGCTGCTTTCCTTTCTTGGTCTGCCTCTCTGGGCAATACATACTGTTCATGGTGAAAATCTTCTTAGTGTGTGTCCTGTCCTGCAAAGGCAGTCTGGCAAGAGATGAGCCTGTGTCAGTCCATTTCCTAGCTTCTGCCAAGTGGTGAAGGCAAAACTTTGCCTTCAAAATATGTTTAAAGTAAGTAGACATTAAAATGGTCCCATGCTGTGGCTCTGACCACAGAGATGAGAGCCAGCCTAGTTAACATTCTGTCTGGGAGCAGATGTCCTGTATTGGTCTTGGTGTGCTGGGAAGCCACCAGACTCCAGCTGCAGCACAGCCCAGCTGGACTGTCCCACATGGCCAGGCTCTGACACCAGCAGCAGGGTGGCCAGTGGCTTGTATTTCATAAGGTTCCTGGCATTTCAGTCAAGGGCAAGGACAAGGCTCTGCTCCTGGGAAGGCAGGCCCCTGGTAGAGACCTGGGCTGAGCAGCTCTGTGGGAAAGGACCTGTAGGGATGGTGGCCAGCGAGCTGGGTACAGACCCACTGAGGACAGGGCTGTGCGAACAGGTCTTGTTCAACCAGAGGACAACTTCAGGGGACCACACAGCAACCCCTGGTACCTGCAGGGAGGTCATGGAGAAGATAAAGCCAGGCTGTGCTCAGAACTGCAGGGTGGGAGGA